TCTACTGAAGTCTCACTCATTATTTAATCATTAAAAAACAAAACAGGAGATCTGGATAACTTGCCACCATTCATATATAAAAAAGCTTCACATGTGCTGTCACCCATTATTGCAACAATGATTAACAAATCTTTATTATTATTATTATTATTATTGTTGTTATTATAAAAAAGAAGCGCTAAACCACAAGGGTTATACAGAGCAAATCTGTAGCGTCCTCAACCTTCCCATCTATACTCCAGACAGCAAGGGTTACCCTGATCCTCAAAGGAGGTGATCCAACTGACTTGAACTATAGACCCATATCAAACTTGCCTTACTTTCCAAAATATTCGAAAAAAAAAAATACACAAACGACTTTACTACTACCTTATATCCAACAGCATACTCGCCCCCTGCCAGTTTGGGTTTAGACCAAAAAAAAGTACGAATGATGCTATTATACAAATGCTGAAACTAATATATACCGCTCTTGATAAAAATAAATATCATCTGGGGCTCTTCTTTGACCTGCAAAAAGCATTTGATAGTCGACCACAATCTCCTACACATAAAACTAAATCATTATGGCATCGAGAGGACATTCCCTTGATTACCTAAAATCTTATCTTAACGACAGCCACCAGTATGTACATGCAAATGGAGTCAACTCCGCTATCCAACCTGTAGCTGCAGGCCCACTCCTTTCTCATTTACATCAACGATCTCCCCAATGCAACCCAACTCCTTAAACCAGTTCTATTCGCAGATGACACTATTTGTCTACTCCCATTCGAACCCAGCTGTACTTAGAAACATTAAAAATATATACTTGGATGATGACCAACAAACCCACTCTCAACATAAACAAAACATACTTCATGCTGTTTGGTAACAGAGCCTTAATATATTGATAAATGGTTCCCCTATATCAAGATACAGAGGGTAAATTTCTAGGTCTTCTCCTTAACTGTAATCTTAAATTTCATTCCAACATCCAACACATACCCAAGAAAATTTCCAAATCAGTAGGTATCCTTTCCAAGATACAATACTATGTCCCACAAATGACACTCATTACCCTATACTATACCACTCATTAATATATCCTTACCTCACCTATGGTATTTGTGCCTGGGGATCAACCACAGCCACCTTAAACCTTTAATAGCCCAACAAAAAGCTGCTGTGTGGATGATTACCAGCTCCTGTGCTAGACAGCACACCCAATCACTTTTCAAAAGCCTGAACTTGCTCGATATACGAGACATACACTCATTATTGTGCCTACTACATATGCAGAACATTCAATTCCTTTATAAACTCTCCACTTTAACTACTCCTTGACAGTTACAACAGAATGCACAGTCACAACACAAGGCATAAGGCACTCTTCAACATCCCCTGTGTCTCTCACACTATGCAAAAATGCTACGCACATAAAGGGCCAAAAGATCTCGAACTTGCTACCAGTAAAGGATCCCCTGACTAGTTATAAATTTAGGAATTTGTTTAAAAATCATCTCTCAATACTAACCAATTCAATCAAAACTTGTGCCAGTCCATGAAATATTACTTCCTGAACCATTATTTGTAATCCTGTTTTTATGTGCAACTTCAGGATTACTATTCTTAAAAACCTCCACCTTGACTACCTTGCATTAGTATTAAGATTAAATAAAAATGTACCACAGTTAACCACTACTATTTTGTCTAGTTTCAAGCAGTTACTATGTACTATTATCTGTCTAGCTTTAAGTAGTTTCTATGTATTAGGATTAGTCTGCCCAAAATGCCCAGGCATGATAGTGGCTTTCTTTGTACTTGGCAAACCAAAATTGTAATTACACATTGTAACCTTTACAAAGAAATAAGCCTTTACTTTACTTCTTGCAATGTTAGTTATAGGTGTGTGCTAAATCCTAAGAGGTCATATAGTGTCTGGGGAAATGGGAAGCATTCAGGATTGATCCAAGGAACAGAAAGGCAGATCCTAGTCTTTTAAATCAAAGAGTTTCTCAGTGACATCAAAGACCCTCCATTAAGGATGAAAGTTTCTTACAAAGACTGTCAGCATTTTGTTGCAATCTTGTGATGGAGGTCATAGTATAATTTTCTGAGGGATGCAGTGTCCCAGCTGGACATCTTTTCTGAACTATAATTTTGTATGGCATTTACTGTAGCTAGCCAATGTAACTTACTTGCTAAGCAAGTTTCTAATTTTCTTATTAGCTTATAAAATCTTTTTGATTTTTTGCTAGCCTGAGATATTAGTCTTTCACAATTTTCTCAGGCCTTTTTCCCAGGCTTCCAATTATGTCCAGCTTATCTGATAGAGGGTTTTATACATATTGCTTAGAGGTAGAGTGACCTGAAAAAGAATAAAACACTTTCACCATCATTCATTTCATCACTACCATGCCAGAGGTGTGTCATTACTACAGTTCAGAACTACAAGTGCTCCCACCCCTCCTTCAGAGTGCAGGCACTGTACTTCCCACCTCCAGGACTCAAAACTGGTTAACCAGTTTTCCTGAAGGGTAACAGTACAGTGCATGCACTCTGAAGGAGGGGTGAGGATATCTGCAGCTCTGAACTGTTGTAGTATCTGTGAGCCTCTGGGAACAGTGATGGAGCGAGTGATGGTGAAAGTGTTTCTTCTTTTACAGGTCCCCATACTTTGGTGAAAGATGGTTGGTGTGTTAAAAAAAAAATTAAGTAACTCAGGTGGTAAAGTATCACAAAAGTATTGCCACAGAACTAATTTGTTTTGTAAAATTAAAATCAGTGATAAATATGTTCTTGATTTTAATTTTCACAATAAACTACAAGATGCATAAAATTAAATCTAAAAAATAAAGTAGGCAAATATTTTAAAATTAAAGAAAAAAAATACACTACTGAATAGACCATGAGATAAACTTTGCATTTTTAGCAATTTAAGGGAAAGTTATGAAAATATAAAAATTGATAATTATATCAAAAGATTATAACTAACAACTGTTAAGTGGTTCAAAAAAATGCAAAGGTAAAGATAAAAAAACCAGAATTTACTAATTAAAAATAAATTAAAGGGAAATAACTAACAGTAAGCTTTTTAAAGTCTATATAGCGAGTTTTTGAAAACAATAGACAAATATAAAATATTTTTTAACCCCGTCAAAAAACTAAGCCTTTATCACAGTGTATTCAAGGTTAATGAAGAAAGCTGATTACTGAAACTTCTTATGTTTAACCCCTTATAATATTTCCACTTACTTTATTTTTACTTCATAATTTTCCCCCCTTATAATTTTTCACTTATTTTTCTGATTTTGGGTAATCATATACATGGCCCCCGGTTAACGTTTTAATCCGTGAAAGGGGGAATTGTTATGCGAATTTTTCGTTATTGAATGAATTTTCCCCCCCCCTAAGAAAAAATGGAAAAAAAATTTAAACCGGGAAGACCCCAAAAATATGAAAAAAAAAATTTTTCCAATGAAATTACATTTTCCCACACACAAAGAGAAGGGTACATGCACAATGTAGGTAGTAATGCCCAGTATTTATTGTGCTGTACTAGTCTATAATGAAGAATAAATGGGCATTACCTTTATTGAAGTGCAGAATGCTGATGAGACACTGTGTTGGGGGTGCCTTTTCCTCCTGAGTACTGTAGGGGCCGTTTTGGGATTTTCTTCCAGAAAGGCCTTTTTAAAATGTGTTTTTCCACTAGATTTTAAAACTCTCAAACAACCCTTTTCTGGCTTTAAATTCACCCAAAAAAAGGATGTTTCCCGGCATTTTTCCCCGTTCACCTGGGTGTTAGTCGACTTGTGTGGGTTGCATCCCGGGAATAAGATTTAAGGACCCCTGGAAATAAGTTAGACAGTCTTCGTGACACTGACTTTTTCGGGTTATCCCGGGTGGCAAATCCCCTGGGGGAATTTTTTTCTTTTTATTCTCAATAAGCCCACCAACAACGGGCTAAGCAGCAGCAGCAGCTGCAGTGCAGTAGCAGCGCAGTGACAGTGCAGAGCACAGCAGCTGTACCACCAATGTGCGATGGTTGTTGGGGTTTTTTATACAACCTGGGCCCGCTCGGAGCATGCACTCCACTTTCTACTATAATGATCTTTTTTTTCATTCTATTTTAATTTCACCCTTATTGCTGTAGGGTTGGGACTAGAAGCTTTCTTGGGGCCCTGGTCACTTATTTCCAAAAAAAGCACCGAAAACACTGTAATAAAACGAAAAATTCCGATTGTTGTTGGATGTTACCGCGGAGGCTGGCGGTAAAAAATGCCACCGGCGGAAAAAAGTGAGCGGTTGGAAGAAAATCGGTAAGCGGGTTTTTAAGCGGTATGTGAGGCAAAATTTTTGCAAATTTAAAATAAGGGTATGCGAAATAAAAAAAAAACTATGTGTGCCATCGTTATGCGGGGGTCCATGTTTCATAACCAAAAAAGAAAAATGTCTTATTAACAATTTAAAAAAAAAAGTAAAAAAAAAATGAATTCTTTAAAGCACTTTTGATGACTAACTTAAAAAGGAAAAACACAGGGGTAACAAATTTTATATTTTAAAAATTTAAACACCTTTTTTTTTTTTAAATCTTTATCAATCAAAATTTCCCTTTTTAAAAGGGGAAAACTTAACGACTCAAATTAGTGTTTTGGATTACCATGGTGATTCCAGGTTATTTTTATAATACACACAAAAACCCCGTTTGTTAAAAAGTGCACAGTGTATTTATTGATCCAAGGGGAAAAAAGGACATGGGTGTTTATTACTTACCAAAGTTTAATCAAAAAGTACGCCTCAATCTTTTTCGAGTAGTTGCCGTTGATGAAGATGTTTTGTGTGGCAATTGTACCCCCCTGAAATTTTTTTATTTTTTTTATGATAAGCTTGTGTTGTATGGGGCAGCACTTTTTCCTACATTGTTACAAGTAAAAAATGGACTCAAAAAAATCTTGGGGGGTGAATGGGTTTATTGCTTCTGACACTTTCCACACTTAAAAAGTGGGGGAATGGTGTCATCCCGAGAGGTTGCCCGCAGTGTTCCAGGCCTCACATTTACACTGGAAGTGGTACTGAGCCATCAAAGGAAACATCCTGGAAGCTCTGCTTTTATTAGTATAGGTTTCCCCATACGAAATGGTTAATTGCTTGCCAGCAGGGATGAAGTGCACTGCTCTCACAACCTCAATCTTACCATAGAAAAATGTTGAACAGCTTGGATTGCAGGAGTGATTCAATAGACTTGATGCAGGGTAAATTCCACTACCACACATAATCTCATGACCTAACTGAGAAATGTTCACACTAACCTGTAACAGAATTAAAGAAATGGGAAATATACTCAGACAATACACAATTGATATACCTATGATTATGAAGAAACTATACATAATTATACAATATGTATTAAGAAAATGGGAGAAAAGACAATGCCAGGAATATAAATCAATAAGCATTTCGTATTTTGTAAAGTAGCAGTCATAATAAAATATAAATGATTAATGATAATGCAAATCGATGATAACATAGCTCTAGTCCTGAAGCTATAAATAAGTAGTCTAACAAAATATAATTTTTGTCAGAATAGAAAATCTAATTAACCATTTAAAAATCAATATATCAATTACTAATCATGTGCATGATTGTTACTACTAAACCATACCATGGGCGGGATTTGAACCCACGGTCAGACAGTCTCAAAACTCCAGACCATCGCGTTAGCCACTGGGCCAGCTAGCCACAATAAGATTCGTCCAACTAGGTATATTTCTACACCATAGGAAGGTTACTGCCTTAATATATTTCTAATAATTTATGGATTACAGATTCTGATACAAGATTATTGATAATGTCGATTTATTTCCTCATATTTATACACTTTTTCCAATAAGGTATTAATAAAATAAAAAATATAACACTTGTTGTGTAAAGATGTTATTATGAAGTTATATAAGACAACTGAAACTGGGTAGACTTCATAGACAACAAGAAATGACAAAGCCAATACTCTAAGCTTGGCATCAAACTCCTGCAACAGATAAAAAGGCACACCATCAGTACTATATGCTTGTATGGCATTTAATATCTGGACTATTTTAATCATGACAGTGATGGGGAAACATAATTAGAAAAACAGGAGGGTTTGAAAGACTTGAACTGTCTAGTATTATTATAAGAGAAGGAAGTTTGAAAAAAGGAAGTTTGAAAAAAGCAATTCACCATTCATACTTAATAATCTTATGAAGGATGAGGTTAACCATAGACATGATGAAGGAAAAAAGCTGAGTGGTGCATTGAGGTGTTTGTGAAGACAAAAATCATTATCCATGGAGACAAAGAAGGGAATGTATGAGAGTATAGTGGTACCAACATTCTTATATGCATGTGAAGCATGGGTTGTGAATGCTGCAGCAAGGAGGAAGCTGGAGGCAGTGGAAATGTCATGTCAAATTGCAATGTGTGGTGTAAGTACTATGCAGAGAATTCGTAGTGGGGAAATTAGGTGTGGAGTTACAAAAAGTATTATTCAAGAGGGTTGAAGAGGGGTCATTAAGATGGTTTGGTCATTTAGAGAGGATGGGGCAAAATAAAACGACTAGGGGAGTGTATAAATCTGTAGTGAAGGGGAGGAGGGGTTGGGGTCATCCTAGGAAAGGATGGAGGGAGAGGCCTGGACATGCAGCAGGAATGTGTGAGCGTGTTGGATAGAGTGAATGGAGATGAATGGTTTATGGGACCTGATGAGCTGTTGGAGTGTGAGTTAGTTAGTTTAATATGTTTATGCACCCCATACCCATCCTGTGGGCGGTAGTCAAAAGATTACAGAGGTACATAATTGGTCCAGGGACTGGACTCCAAAGTTTTGATAGCTGAGCAAGTTACAGAGGTAATGAACTCACAATTTACAAAGGTAATGAACTCACAATTTACAAAGGTAATGAACTCACAATTTACAAAGGTAATGAACTCACAATTTACAAAGGTAATGAACTCACAATTTACAAAGGTAATGAACTCCAGGTAAGTCTGGTCACAATCATGACAAGTTACAAAGGTATTTACAGATTACAGAGGTACGTAATGGGTCCAGGGACTGGGCCCCCAAAGTTTTGATAGCTGAACTAGGTACAAAGGTAATGAGCTCACAAGTTACAAAGGTAATGAATTCTGTAGAATGGTTACTTACGTTTATACTTTGGCTACAATCATGAACAAATTATAGAGTAATGAGCAATTCACACTTCGGTGTGTGAGCAAGGTAATATTTTGTGAAGGGATTCAGGGAAACCGGTTAGACAGACTCGAGTCTTGGAGGTGGGAGGTACAATGCCTACACTTTAAAGAAGGGGTTTGAGATACTGGCTGTTTAGAGTGACATCCCGATTATCATATCTGAGCACCTCTGCAAAGACAGTGATTATGTATGAATGATGGTAAATGTTTCATTTTTTGGGTCACCCTGCCTCAGTGGGAGACAGCTGGCATGTTAAAAAAAAAAATGTATTTCTACAAGTACATGTACAAGCTGACATCAATAACCAATACTACAGAGAGAGCACCTTGTTATGCAGAGCATTTCAGGAAAATTAGGTCAATTTTGTCCTAGGATGTGACCCAAACCAGTCGAGTAACACCCAGGTACCTATTTTCTGATAGGTTAACATGGACAGCAGGTGTCTTATGGAAACCACTTCCAAATGTTTCCACCCATACTGGGGATTTACCCCCAGTATGGCTGTGTGACAATATAGTGTGTTCAATCAAGCCAAGAGCAGACTGTGTACAGGTCCTTTATGCAATACTGTATATGCAGTAAAACATGCTCAGCTGTAACAGGATTACTATGCTGAATAGATCTAAAGGGCTCATTCCATTATGGAATACCATTACAAAATATGGCTTTTGAAATCATTGTTTAATAGGTAGAAAAGGAGAAGAAAATGTAGGTCTTCTTATTAGCAATGATCTTATTAAGAACTGATACACATCCCATTTAAAATAAAGATAAAAAAAAAAAATTGATAGTGCCAATAAACAAAATGAAATAAGAGGAAAGGTTACCTGCAAGAATGTAATAGCTTTAGCATTACAGATAAGGTTCATCATATGATGCATGAGTGTGCTGCCAGTCAAGATGATATCTTCATGACTTGGAGTGAAGGGCTCTCCATCACTGGTAAGAAAGTAGCGTCCACTCAGATGCAGAAGTTTGGTAATGATAAAAGCTTGTATGCATCTCCTGAGTAGTTCTTGCGAAGACAGTTTTTCTTTGTTAGTTACCAGGTGATACACTGATCTGTAATGTTTCTCATCATAGATTCCATCCTTGTTAAAGCCATGATTCTTTGGGGATTTTTTTTTGGCTTCAAGTCGCAGCAGTGGTAGCATTTCCTTGAGCTTGGCATGAGATGTCTTCATCATTATTCTGTATGCCAATGCAGGATTCCTTCCCATGTCTAGTGCAAAGAGTGTTGGCAAAATAGGGCATTCTTGCCAATGGATCCCTGACATTCCTTCTGTACGACACTCCTCACTACAAAATATCACCTAAAAAAAAGATAAATAATTAAAATGCAATTCTATATTGTATAACTGTGCAAATCTCAAAATACAAAACCATCAACAGCATTTACTAACAAAAGTGGTGCAGATCTAAATTCCTCAATTACTGTATATGTACTGTATAATTATTATAATCAAAAGAGAGTACATATACATGTACTGTAAAAATGAGGCAGGTAGTTTGCTGTTAAAAGCACAAGCTGTGTTAGTACTGGGACTTAGTGAGAAGCGACTTAGGATGTCAAGCATTTATTCAGAACAGAAGTGATCTGCATGTCTCTCTCTTCCCCATGATTGTCAAGTCAACTACTGGGGTCATAATATTTACAGAGAAGCTTGAATATTAAAAAAATATTCAACAACTGGTGGCACTTATGGCTGGAAGCAGTTGAAGTACAATCCAAAGAATCAAATGATTAATGATTTATTGTAACTAAGTTAAAACACACAATTAAACAAGCAATTTAAACAATGTAAAATTATGCATATAAAACTGTCAATATTTTCATTTTATAATAAAAAAAGTATTACAGCAAACTTTACTCTCATTTACTTGTGTTTAATTAGTACTGTAATGTTCCAAAATACACATTGTAGATATTATTCTAGTAATAGATTGTTGTTGTTATTACATCATTTTTATCATCATCAGTTTGAAGACTCATGGCTGGCCAAGTCCACAGGCTGGAGGGTTACCTGGAGGTTACCTGGAGGTTATTCCAGGGATCAACGCCCCTGCGGCCCGGTCCATGACCAGACCTCCCGATGGATCAGGGCCTGATCAACTAGGCTGTTACTGCTGGCCGCACGCAGTCCAACGTACAAGCCACAGCCCGGCTGATCCGGCACTGACTTTAGGTATCTGTCCAGCTCTCTCTTGAAGGCAGCCAGGGGTTTATTGACAATTCCCCTAATGCTTGATGGGAGGCTGTTGAACAGTTTTGGGCCCCGGACACTTATGGTGTTTTCCCTTAGTGTACCAATGGCGCCCCTACTTTTTATTGGGGGCATTTTGCATCGCCTGCCCAGTCTTTTACTTTCGTAGGGAGTGATTTCTGTGTGCAGATTTGGGACCATTCCTTCCAAGATTTTCCAAGTGTAGATTATGATATATCTCTCCCTCCTGCGTTCCAACGAGTACAAGTCAAGTGCTTCCAAGCGTTCCCAGTAGTTAAGGTGCTTGACAGAACTTATACGTGCAGTAAAGGATCTCTGTACACTCTCTAGATCTGCGATTTCACCTGCTTTGAATGGAGATGTTAATGTACAGCAGTATTCCAGCCTAGAGAGAACAAGTGATTTGAAAAGGATCATCATGGGCTTGGCATCTCTCGTTCTGAAAGTTCTCATTATCCATCCTATCATTTTCTTTGCATGTGCGATCGTGGCACTGTTGTGATCCTTGAAAGTGAGATCCTCAGACATTACTACTCCCAGGTCCCTTACATTATTTTTCCGCTCTATTGTATGGCCGGAGTCGGTAGTATACTCTGTTCTAGTTATTATCTCCTCCAGTTTTCCATAATGGAGTAGTTGGAATTTGTCCTCATTGAACATCATATTGTTTACCGTTGCCCACTGGAAAACTTTGTTTATATCTTCTTGGAGGTTAACTGCGTCCTCAGCAGATGACAGCCTCATGCAGATCCTAGTATCATCCGCAAAGGATGATACGGTGCTGTGGTGTATATCTCTGTTTATGTCTGATATGAGGATAAGGAATAAGATGGGGGCGAGTACTGTGCCTTGTGGAACAGAGCTCTTCACTATGGCAGCCTCCGATTTAACTCTGTTGACCACTAGTCTTTGTGTTTGATTTGTTAGGAAGTTGAAGATCCATCTCCCCACTTTCCCAGTTATTCCTTTAGCACGTATTTTATGGGCTATTACGCCATGATCGCATTTGTCAAATGCTTTTGCAAAGTCTGTGTATATTACATCTGCATTCTGATTTTCTTCCAGTGCATCCAAGGCCATGTCATAGTGATCCAGTAGTTGTGAGAGGCAGGAGCGACCTGCCCTGAACCCATGTTACCCTGGATTGTGCAGATTTTGGGAATCCAGGTGATTTGCAATCCTGCTTCTTAGCACTCTTTCAAAGATTTTTATGATGTGGGACGTCAGAGCTATTGGTCTATAGTTCTTAGCTAATGCTTTGCTGCCACCTTTATGGAGTGGGGCTATATCCGTTGTTTTAAGTGACTGTGGAATTTCACCCATGTCCAAGCTCCTCCTCCATAGTGTACTTAGGGCACGCAAGAGGGGTTTCTTGCAGTTCTTAATGAAAACAGAGTTCCACAAGTCTGGGCCCGGGGCTGAGTGCATAGGCATGTTGTCAATGGCTTTTTCGAAATCTATCGGAGTTAGGGTAATGTCGGAAATCTGGCATACATTTATGGAGTTTTGAGGCTCATTCATGAAGAAATCATTTGGGTCGTCGATCCTCAGACCGATTAGTGGTTCACTAAACACAGAGTCGTACTGGGATTTCAATATTTCACTCATTTCCTTGTTGTCATCTGTGTAAGTCCCATCCTGTCTGAGTAAGGGCCCGATACTAGATGTGGTATTTGCCTTGTTTTTGGCATATGAAAAGGGTAAGTACTGATGACATGTTTTCCCTACCAAAGAGTCCATGACCTACCACAAATGAGATGAATGGATTGTGTGAACACAATTGTTATGATATGGCCCACAAATGGACTCCCACCTCCTGGAACATACCATAATATGGTTAAGTCTTCCCTGTATCAACCGTATACTGACACCCAAATCATTAGTCCCAGGTGCAGATGATACTTTGAAAGAGCTGCCATTAATATGACTCGAGACAGCTTGCATCACCTTTGGTTGTTAGACCTGGGGATGCAGGTGGGTGGCCAGTAAAACCCAGAGTGGGAAGTTCAAAATGTCAGGAAATGACCCTTTAACTCTCATCTTGCTTTGAGTCAGCATTTCATTGGAACTTCTTGCTGCTTAATTTATAGCTCATAATACTGCTAAACTCCATGGGAAAGTGGAACATAATGCCTCCCCCAGAAGCCATACACATCATAAGAGGTGACTAAAATGCTGGGAGCAAGGGGCTAGTAACCCCTTCAATTTACGTTGTCCTTATCATTATAAAGCTTGATTTTATCGGGGTTGGCAACTGCAGCTTCCCCAACCCACATGAACTCATCCATTATGCCTGTGTTTTCAGGAAAAGCTAGTCATATGGTTTTTGGAAGTGAGAAAACTTTCGACTTCTTGTTTCAAACTTTATGCTGAACCTGTCATATACTTCAAAACTTACTTGCACCATCTAATTTGCCTATATTATCCACCTCTCCTATCTACCAGTGTACAATAGTCATTCATATGATGTGTCCTGCATTGAATAGTTATGGTTCCTCAAACAGAAGCAAGGGGCACTTCCAGGATGGATCAGGTGTGTATCCTCACTCACCTGGGCTAGCAAAATCCATAACTATTCCATAGGTTGATAAAGGGAACTGGCTGAGTATGTACACATGAGAGAGGACCTAGGTGGGGTTAGTAGATAGGCTTGAGAAGTACCACTTTATCAGTAGAGTATCACTCTTTAAACAACTCACACTCTAAGCCAGTGCAACAGCCAACTTCTCCATTAGTCTAATCAAAAGCGTAGCCCTGCCATTGAGCAAATCACAGCTTATACAAGTCTGCTATCTCAGATACTCATCTTGGTTGCTAAGTATATATACATTCAACCAGTCAATATTTATACATTCTACTCCTAGTTTAAGGGTTAAGTCTGTAATGTTGTGTATGACTTCTAGCCCATCCTCGTATTGCAGCAGAAATGCTTTTCGTTGTGTAAAGCACTTACACAGTACGTACATTGTCCATTAAAGATAAGGTGGTTTTGAAGCCACTGTCGGTTGCTATGAGCTCAGTCTCATGATGCAGGGTAATAAGCTTTATTATGCTAGTATCAACACTACAGCTTATTGCCTATCACAATTGATCTAATATGACATAATAAACAATATAAATAACATAAAACATGTTAAATACTCCAGAATAATATTTGGCATAAAACCGAGAAGTTCGACGGAGGTATGAAGAGGACATGGGATACAAGTACCATCCTCCAATCCCTGTCTTGGGGCTTATATTAGAGAAAACTGAGTATAGCAAAGGGCTAACTGTGATATACACTTCGTACTGCACCATAAACCTGAAACAAAAAAGCTATTTTCTCTATATAGATTATCACACATAGCAGCATATGTGTAGAGAACCTAGGATAACCCAAAAAAGTCAGACAACATGGCTTACTTCTAGTACCTGGCTTGGATTAGCCATATATGATTTTTGGTAAACATTTGATCCCCAGCCAGGGTAGAAACATTGGGCGTGTTTCTTTACACCTATTATCTATGTTCACCCATCAGTAAACGGGTACCTGGGTGTTAGTCGACTGGTGTGAGTGTTATCCTAGGACACTGACCTAATTTGTTTGAAATACTCTGCATAACAAGTGGCTCTCTATATAGTAGTACAGTGGACCCCCGCATACCGTTGGCCTTACATAACGTTAAATCCACATACCACTACATTTTATCGCCAAGATTTTGCCTTGCATACCGCTAAAAAACCCGCTCAACGCTGTTCGTCTGAGACGCGTCTATGTGCGGCTTGAGCCACGCTCACATGTTCCGCCGGTGGCATTGTTTACCAGCCAGCCTCCGCGGTAACATCCAAGCATACAATCGGAACATTTCGTATTATTACAGTGTTTTTGGTGATTTTATCTGCAAAATAAGTGACCATGGGCCCCAAGAAAGCTTCTAGTGCCAACCCTACAGCAATAAGGGTGAGAATTACTATAGAGATGAAGAAAAAGATCATTGATAAGTATGAAAGTGTCTCCGAGCTGGCCAGGTTGTATAATAAACCCCAATCAACCATCGCTACTATTGGTGGTACAGCTGCTGCTGCTGCTGTACCACCGTCAGCTG